TAACGACGTGTGTCAGGAGGACTGGCTTGAGATATATGAGGTGCTGTCCAGTGGTCGCGAAATAAAATACGGCAGATATTGCTGGTCCACAGCCCCGGGTCCTATCATTTCCGACTTCGGGGTCAACAGAATGAAAGTAATTCTCAATACGGATGAGACGGGTGTGTCGAGTGGGTTCAGTGCCAGCTATACCTTCATGGATGGTGCCAACTCTTATGGAGGTATTCCCCGTTAATCTCATTATTAGACTTGATTTTTAAGAGTATCAATAATTTGTTTAAAGATTGCGGAACTAATATAACCGGTGAAGAGAACGGTGTGATAACAACTCCCAATTACCCCAATGGTTATCTGGCACACAGACAAGTGTGTACCTGGTACATTACCGTCCGGCCCCGTTATAAAGTGCTCCTTTATTTTGAAACATTTCTAGTCGAAGGCGAGCCTTCATGTATGTATTAAATTAAATAATCAAATATTCAATACATTTATTGATATCTAAATATTTATGCTTTAAATTCAATTTACGAAACGACAGCTCGTGGTTGTTCTGGTGCTGTAGTGAGGGTTTGGTTAGATCTGAGTCAACAGCCCGTAGAGCTGTGCGGAAGTGAACTAAACAACGAAACCATTCAATTGATTTCGACCACAAATTTGCTCAAAATTACGTAAATATATAGCAATATAAATATTTATTATCTGTAACTAAAAGTGTTTGGTTTGTTATAATAGTTTTCTTACGGCTCAAAAAGCTGTCGGTGCGAAAGGTTTCAAAGCAAGTTTCACCGAAATTCGTGATAAGGGCTCGACTTGCGATCAATTCCGATGTGCTTCCAGTGGTTATTGCATTTCAGCCAATCTTTACTGCAATTCGATCCCAAATTGTGGTCATTTCGACCGCTCAGACGAACTCAACTGTAAGTCTTGTGATTAACGCACCATTGATGCCAATGGTTGACCCGATTATTGGACTCATTTCAGGCAAAAAAGTGGTCGAAATCGACTTTGTAATGATAGGGTCGGGTGTGTGCGGGGCAGTAGTGCTGCTGATGATAGTGATGTGCAGTCTGTGTCACCGCAAGAAGAAGCGAAGACGAAGCGACAGCAGTCTTACGGCTCAGTTGGATATCTCTCGACCCAAACCCCCGCAGTTCGAGATCCCACCCTCTCTTCACTTCCTCCCTATGGATAGTGTATAGCATTGGGAGAGACATCCCATCGGTTGACTTCACTGTCTCAACAGTTTTGTATATATTGTACACAATATTCACACCAATTATCATAACTCTATGTGTTGTCCAACACTGAGACTAACGATATGTCAAAGACTTATATAAAGTGTATAATAATATTAATTGCCATCAAAATAAATACAATGTTATTATTTAT